CCTGATCTTTAGACCTACATTTTACTTGAAGTTAGCCTTTTTTAGTACTTCTTTTTCTGTCAGTCCAGACCTTTGGTATATAACTCAGCATTGAGTTAACTCTAAGGGCTCCCTAATGCATAGTCATATTTTGTACAAAATATGGGGTTTACTTTTCTTATTTCAAAAGATAGTAAAATTGGCTTCTCTAAGGAAACAGAGGGTTATAAAGAAAATTTCAGGATGGCTACTTCCTGTACTGACCTAGGATCAGGGTTTGTAAATTTATTACCAAAATGAAATACAAATTTAATTACAGTGGAAAGTTGCATGTTATAAAATGAACTTTATCTTGATAATAAATAAACTTTTAAGGATATTATCTGAGATAACATGAAGAATTAAGAATATTATCTCATCTCTCAAATCTGTTTTGAAGGTTATATATACATAAGAGGTTATGAGAAAAATTTGAACTTTACATAGGAAAAAGCAGTCCATATTTTAAAATTGTCTTAGTTCTAACATGAAACAAGAATGAAAATGTGAGAATAAGACGATGGTGAAAAGGCATTCACTGTAATTCCATTCATTTGAAAATATCATTGATATACCCTTGTTATTTAAACTTTTTTATTTTATAACTACATATATGTATATGTTGGAAATTAATGTTTTATATCCAACTGTATACCAGAAAGTATGAGTCATTTCTGTGCCAAAACACTTTTGGAAATCTCATTAAATTTGTAGTTATGAAGACATTCAGGAGGTATTGTAAATAACTGTTCCCAAATGCTTGGTTTTGGTGGGACATTACAGATCCTTTATTTGTTGAGCTCTCTTCAAAAGTAATAATTCTTTCTATGAATGAATCTTTACTCGGTGCAAGAGATTACAGGTGGCCAAATGACTTTTCTTCTGAAGCTGAACTCAGATATAATAGACATTGGCATTTAATTGGTATTAATTTTGGTATAATTCATTATCTCTCATTAAAAAAAAAATGAAATTTCTTGAAACCAGTGTTACTTGGAAAACCTTGGCTCACTAACAAGTTTCTGAGAAATACTGTTGAATACCCCAATACCCTCGACTTGACCACTGTGCAAGCTATGCATGTAACAAATTTGCACTTGTACCCCCTAAATGTATACACATTAAAAATAGTTTATTGCCAAGAACATCTTAATAATTCAACAAAAGCTCCTTCTTTAAAAAGTCCAAAATATTTTAATTTTGTAATTATTTATTGAGATCCTGCTGATTTTATAGGCTCACATTGGCTATGACAGGAACCCAAAAGAAATATGTACTTTACAAAGAACTTACAGTCAATTTTGAGAAACAAAATACATTTATACAAAATAGCAAGAAAACCATGAAAGGATATAATGAAGTGTCAGCTTATTAAATTAATATTCTTGTTGAGTCAGACAGTCATCAGTAGTCTTCCTATAGCACCGACATAATTTTTGGTTACTTAATGAGTCAGTATAAGTCTGGATTTATTTCATGTTTTCTGTGCTTTATAATATTTAATTATAAAAGTCTTATTTTTTCAGCACTGAAGTCAGCACATATTGTTGGATACATACTACTTGCTAGCACACTTAGAGGCATCAGGGTTAGAAAAGTAAGCAAAATAGAGAGTCTTTGTACTTAAGGACCTTACTGCTTTGTGTGCACGTATATGGTAGGTGATGGTGCCAGGAAAGACACAGATAGTTCACATGTGAATACATAAATAAATAATTCCAGACATTTATAAGTATTATGAAGGTGATAAAAATGTTGGGGTGGAAGTGCATTGACTAGTGTTATCAGAGAAGCCTTGTCTGAGGAGCCAAGATTTTAGCTGAAGATTGACTAATGAGAAAGAATTAAGTAGGTAGTTAGATGTATAGTTTGGAGCTCAAGGAGGGGTCTAGGGTGATGATAGAAGTTTGAGAGTCACTATTACACATATGATATTAAAACCATGAGAGGCCAAGTACAGTAGCTCCATATCCCAACACTTTGGGAGGCTGAGACGGGCAGATCACTTGAGGTTAGGAGTTCAAGACCAGCCTGGCCAACATGGTGAAGCCCCATCTCATGTCTACTAAAAATAAAAAAATTGGCTGAGCATGGTGGCAGCCACCTGTAATCCAAGCTACATGAGAGGCTGAGGCAGGAGAATCGTTTGAACCCAGGAGGCAGAGGCTGCAGTGAGCCAACGCTAAGCCACTGCACTCCAACCTGGGTGACAGAGTGAGACACCGTCTCAAAAACAACCAACTAACCAACCAACCAACCATGAGAGTGCTTAAATTACATCAGTGAGTGTAACTGAAGAAGAGAGGAGTATAGCGCCCCTGAACAGTTCAACATTAAGAAGACTAGGAGAGGAGGCAGAGGCATCAAAGGAAGCTGAGAAGAAGCAGGTGGTGATGAGAAGGAAACTTAGGCAAATGTGGCATCTCAGCAGCTAGAAGAGTCTTTCACAAAAGAGAAAGTCAACAATGTCAAACACAGTCAAGATGTCAAATAAAATGAGAGTTGAGAGCTGACCTTTGCCTGCATTGAGATGAAAATCATCAGTGACTTAGTAAGAGCTGTCTATGGAGAGGTGAGGAAAAAAAGCCTTATCGACAGATGAAAGAGAGAATAGGTGGTAAAAAAAAAAAAAAAAAAACAAAGACAATAAGAAATGCAAATCTCTTGAAGGATTTGCTACGAATCAGAGGAGAGTAGGGGATAAAATCCAATCTTTTGAAAAGATGGATAATATAGCACAGGTTTTTGTGCCAAAAATTTATCCAGTAGAAAAAGCAGTGATGCAGCATAGAGATGGAATAATTGTAGGAGTGAAGCCTTTGGAAAGGTAAGATGGGATAGGACCCTGAGCACAAGAGGATGGCCTTAATTACGGTAGGAAAATTTCTTCTATTTTAACAAGGAGGGAAGGCAGAAGTTGTGAAAAAAAGAAAAAGGTGCAGCTGGGTTAGTAGAATTTATATTAGAATGATGAAGTAGTTTTTACCCTTTTGCATCTACTTCCGTTTGAAATTCAAGTTTAAATTATCAACAAAGCATGATGGGGGGTGGGTGTGTGAGAGTGGGAGAGAGAAGGTACAGAATTGTCTTCTCTGAGAATAATAAGTTAAATCTGCTAAGACATCATAGTGGTAAACTTTACAGAGAAGAGTACCAGTTGGAGATTTGCAGCCATACATAGGAAGTAAATCTTATCAACATGGTTTTGTGATTTTTCTAAAACAATACTTTTGCCAATTAGTAGCAGTAGGCATCTCTATTACCTAGATTGTATTCTTGAAAAACTACTTTCTGCTCAAAGAAACAGATTCAATAAATGGCTCATTTTAGGCCTGGGGCAGAACATTTCCAAAATAAACCTGGAACATTTGTTCATAACAGAGCAAGGAAGCTATCAAAAACTACTATAGTCATGTCAAAAGGACTTAGGGGACAACATGAAGAGTCTTTCACTTGCTCAAGGTGAGATAATATGAATATCAATAAGGAAAATAACTAAAATGGACTGAAACACATCAAATATGTTTAAATCCATGAGCTCAAATTGATCCAAAATAAAACCAACAACAAAATCGCACACACATACACACAACAACAGCAACAACAACTAAGTGGAAACCCTGGAAGAATTCTAGTTAACTAGCTTTTAAATTTAAAAACTGATAAGCAAAGAGAATGAAGCATTTTTCCTTTTTCTCTGTCAACTGTATCCTTGGATACCCAAATAGTAGATGTGGTGAAATTTCTCTTTAAAGGAATGTTCCAGTAAATAAATAATGAATGATAAAATTGGAATATCTCCATTTTGTAATGCTAGATGAATTCATGAATTTAGACATTTAGCAAAAGAAGCTACTAACATTACAAAAAGGAATTCCAAATATAGTATGCCTTCTGATAACATCAACACATAAAATGTCTTGTCCAAAAAATTGAACATGAATCTGATTATGTTTCTAGATTCAGTTACCAATTGTCCAAGAGTACAGAGGAAAGATCATGTTAACCTATACCATAGGGATGTAATTAACTAAATCCATATTATGGGAAACTCTACTAGAGAAATTAAACAATAGTGCCTATGGAAGGTTTATGATTTGGGGGATAAAACAAAAATTAACTATAAGGGAATTGATACCATGAAAGTGAGGATAGTGGTTACACCTAGAAGGGAAGAGTCTTTGGAAGAAAACCTGTGGATGGGTTCTGGGTAGCTGGAAAGATTCTGTTTAAATGAATATTTTTATGTAGAAAGGTGGTTGTCTTAAAACAATTCATTAAGCTGTATGTGGTTCTCTGTATATGAGTTATATTTAACAATCCTAGAGCAAAATTTTTAAATGGGGATAAGTTATTTACATATTTTAAATTCCATTATTTTAATATATGAAGTTACTTGTTAAGCTTTTGTAGGAAATGGGAGGGGACAGCAGTGTTAAAGAATTGAGAGTGTAAATAACAGAGTTGCAAATGGCAGTTTGCAGCTAAGATCACAAATCAAAGAATCAAGTGAGCTCCACATGAAGGAACTTATCAGCATTAGTCAGTCACTTCAGCCATCTTTAACACATGTTCTCATCTTCATATTGAAGATGAATTAAGTGGAATATACGTTGAAAATGTCTGTTTACAGATGCTTCATGTGGCTTTTCAAAGTGCTTTTGTATATATTATTTCATTACAGATTCTGAATGAATTTGTGAGTGGAACTGATAATGCTATTTAAGTTCTCTGTACGTAAATATAGTAAAGGTTTCTTAATTTAAAAATATTTTAAAATATTTAAGAGAACAAACCTACCTTTTTTGTAGATGTCAATATATTATTTCAAGTAATATCTTCCATACTTATAAGATTCCTGGCCCTTATTTGTTTAAGGAAATAATGTTCACTAGTTTGACGAAAATTTTAAAGATATTCATGACAGTTTGACAGGCCTGTAAATGTAAACTATTCCTTTTGTTGTTGTTGTTTTCTGCCAGAGGTCTCTTTATTAGTATCCATGATCGCGGGCATATTGCTTCAGTTCTCAATGCATGGCCAGAAGATGTCATCAAGGTAAGTTATCACGTTTTTCCACTACGGCAATTTTTTTCTTTTCTGTCCCATAAAACAGTTTAAAACATACTGACAATTCTCATGATAATAGGTAGCATTCATTAGCTTTTCTAGTGAATATCACCTAATTTATATGCTTTTGATTTTTACATAGTGGGTTAATTTTATTCTGATGACATTTAGATACTAAGTTTTCTCATTATTTCTGTCTAATTTCTTAGTACCTCCATTCTAAGTGATGATACATGTTGAATATGCGGTAGCATCTGAATTTCTTTAAGCAAACCCTTAAATTCTATCTGTTGTGTTTAATTATCCCACTAAGAGGAATCCAAGTAGGCAAAAAAAAAAATCTGTTAATTTATTTCTTTTATCATTATGACTTTAAGTAGCTCATTTGACTTCCCTCTGTAAGTAATGAAAATAAAAGTAGTAATAGTACCTGACATTTGGTAGCGTCCTGAATGAGACATTTTACATGGATTAACTCATAATAATAGTAAGAATTCATTGAGGAAAGGAAGGCATAGACGGTTACAAAGTAGTGTAAGATAGTGGTAGGAACTGAATGCAGGCCCCAGAGCTGGCCCCAGAGTCCCTGTTCTTAGACACAGGGCTATGCCATCTTTCTTGTGTAAGGGGGGGTGAGAAGTATTTGTTCTCCCTTTAGTTCCCCTTTTATTTTCTGTTGAATACCTAGCAACTTTGTGGAATCTTTTAGGACTAGGATGGATTAAATCAATGTCTTTCGGTGGTACAAAGGCACTTCAGCCATAACTTCTGAAGTGTAAGTCCGTTTATGATCTTTTTAAAATTATTTTAATATTTTTAGAGACAAAGTCCCACTGTATTGCTCAGGCTGGTCTTGAACTCCTGACCTCAAGCAGTCCTCCTTCCTGAGCTTCCCAAAGTATTGAAACTATAGGTGTGAGCTACCATGCCTGGGCGATCTTTCCTCTTGAGAAATTGTGGCTATAATTAATTAATTTGGCTCTCTAAGGCTCATGCTAGGAAAACTTATAAATTAAAATGGTTTTTATTATTTCCGGTGTCCTCAATTTTTTTATTATATTTATTAATTTATTTATTTTTACTTTTTCTACCTAAGTTGCTTCCTCAGCTTTTCTGCTATCAACTAGACCATGTTATCCACAGATTCCGGTCTTAGAAACTACCCTGAGAAACATCTTAATTCTATAAAGCAGAAGTATATGATCACCTAAAGATGTTTACTTTTAATCAGGAATCTAAGGGAGATTTTAAGAATAAACAGGTTGACCAGAATTGGTGGCTCATGCCTGTGATCCCAACACTTTGGGAGGTGGAGGTGGGTGGGAGGATTGCTTGAGCTCAGGAGTTTGAGACCAGCTTGGGCAACATAGTAAGACCCCATTTCTAGAACATATTTAAAAATTAGCTGGAATGGTGGTGCATGCCTGTAGTTCCAGCTACTTGCCTGGGGCTGAGATGAGAGGATCACTTGAGCCCAGGAGTTCGATTCTGCAATGAGCTATGATCACACCATTACACTCTAGCCTGGGCAACAGGGCAAACCCTGTGTCAGAGAAAAAGAAAAAAGAATTGACAAGTCAATAGAGGAAGTAGTTCTGCAGTAGAAAGTTCTAGTCAATATCCCTGTAATCATAACAGCTAGGGAGTAAGCTATCGCACCATGTTTCTTGTTCTTCCAACTAGTTGATCTCTGCATCTTTAACTTTATTCATAGCCTACTTTTATCCTTTGGACTCTTAATATTGGGTCCTTACTGATGTTCTTATCCCTAGCTATGCCCTCTTTTATTTAAAAATCTTAGCATAGTGCCTGGCACATAGTAGGTACTTATACATGGCAGCCATTGATTGTAAAATAATACTGAAAATAAATAAGAATATCATATATGGTCTCAACTATATAATTGAAAGTATACATGAAACAAAGTCAATTATTAGACATAATGTAATCAAACTGTGTATTATAAGTGCCTTATTCATTCATTCTGAGGAGAGTATTATTTAGAGAAGTCTGGAACAGTTAAAACTTTTCTAGCAAAGTTGGAACTTAATCCAACCTTTGATAATTAGAAAGGGAAGAACATACTATTCTAGGAAGAGAACAGATGAATGTAGGTATCAAGTTCAGTAAGAGAATGGAGTGTTTTTAAACAATAAGAAAATTCACTGACCTGAATAAAGCTGAGTGTTAATATTGGAATATGGTGGAATTCGCATTGCCTAAGTGGTGATCAAATTATTATAAAAGGTTTTGAAATTCAGAAAGAGATTTGATTTGAGAAAATAGAATGTCATATTTGACAATATATAAGTAATATTTGAAGAAGCTTCACCTGGAAACAGATTTTAGAATAGTTTCAAAACAGGAAAAGATGCAAAGGTTCTACATTTAGGTAGGCTGCAAGAGGATGGGCCTTCAGAAGGACAAAGAAGGGGTGAAGACTGGACACCTGGAGAGTATTTTTATGTGTTCAGGAGAAATCTGCATATTTCGTACGGAAGTTTCTATTCAGGTAATGCCTAGATAACAATTTGCATAGTGGAGTGAAGATTTAATTTCTGAAAAACAGACATCATTGATAGAATTGTAGTTGTCTTACTGATATTAATTCTGCTATTGTGACTTGATTGTTGTATGGAAAACATCCAACTGCCTCATATTTCTGAAGCAGGATATAAAGTAAGTTAAAAAAAAAAAAAGCAAGGGATATTAATTGTGATAAAATATGTAAGGGACAAAGCTTTTTTTCTTTGAAAGAATTCTTTTACTGTTAAAATGTATATTTTTATGTGGAAGTATTTATGAATTAATTCCATAAATACACATTTGTAATAAAGCATAAATATCAAATGACTCAAAACATTTAAAAAATGTCTCAAACTACTACATATATAAATGTTCATGTATATGTATATAACCAAATAATATAAATAATAACTCTGAAATAATAACTTAGGGAATAAAAATTATGAAGAAACAAGAAATAATGTGCTTTTTTTTTTTTTTTTGAGGTGGAGTTTCTACTCTTGTTGTCCAGGCTGGAGTGCAGTGGTGCAATCTGGGCTCACTGTAGCCTCTGCCTCCTGGGTTCAGCATTTTATAAATTATTGTTCAAGTCCTAACTAAGCTAAATGACAATATTACTCTCCTTATAAAACACATTATAAAAATATTTGTAAATACAGGCAGGCCAATTGGACTTTACCTATACAAAGAACATGTTCACAAAAGTATATAACATCAATGATATGTAAAAGTATCTCTATTTATGGTAATGCAATAAATAAAACTGTTAAATACACATTAGAAGAATTAGGACTTTGAAATTTTGGCCTTAATTTAATTTAAAAACCAAAGTTATAGTTCTTTGCAGTATTTATTTTACCTTAAATCAGAGCTAAGTTAAGCTAGTGGTATCAGATTGCTTCCTCCAAAAGAGCATCACATACTGACCCATTGCTGTTTGGCGTGGAACATTTTCCAAGGACAAATATGTAGAATATGCAAAAATGATTTTCACCTACCTCTCAAATGTATTTACCTTTAAGATAATTTTCCAAGAGCTGCATAATATAGGTGAACAGGAAATTAAAGGAAATATCTTAAAAGTATATTTTAAAATATATTCTGCAATGTTGTATGGTGAAAAGAGCACTGTACTAGGAATTAACATACCTGGGTTTCTGCTTCTTTGATATTAACCAGGTAAATCACCTTAGGCAAATTACTTCAGTTTTCTGATTTTTTTCAGTTTCCTAATTTATAAAATAAGAGGAATGAATGGAATGTACTTTAGATTTCTCTTGACTTCTAAAATGCTATGACTTTATAATTGGTTCTGAGGAAATAATAGTAATAATAGTTGTAAATTTTTAAGAATTTTTGTAATGTACCAGGTACTTTGGTAAGTTATTTTTATATCATGATTTCATTTTATGTAATCATAGTTTTATTCAGTTTACTAGTATTTATTGATTGTTTACTGTTTGCCAAATAGTGTACTAGGTGCTGATGGACAGTGGTAAGCAAAAAGAGCTGGTTCTCAATTTTATACAGCTACTCTGAAAAGTGCATTTATTACTCCCAATTTACCAATAGGAAACAGAAGCTTAAATTCACCCACGGACAAATAACTGACATTTTTCCACATTTCTCTGAATATGATGAGTGTAGCAGTTTGTAGAGTATCTAATAAATTGTTTCATAAGATTGGTTTTGTTTAAATTCATATAATTGCCATGAAACACAAAGATGTTCAATAATATCAAATTACATAGAATTAAAATCCCCACATGATTGAAGTATATGCTTCATAAATATTCAAGGTAATTAGAAATAAGCTAAACAGGCTGGTCATGGTGGCTAATGCCTGTAATCCCAGCACTTTGGGAGTCTAAGACAGGCAGATCACAAGGTCAGGAGTTATAGACCAGCCTGGCCAACATGCTGAAACCCCATCTCTACTAAAAATACAAAAATTAGCCAGGTGTGGTGGTATGCGCCTGTAATCCCAGCTACTCAGGAGGCTGAGGCAGGAGAACTGCTTGAACCCGGGAGGCAGAGGTCGCAGGGAACTGAGATCATGCCATAGCACTCCAGCCTGGGTGAAAGAGTAAGACTTCGTCTTGGGAAAAAAATAATAATAAATTAAAAAATATATATATAAAAGAAAGAAAATGAAATTCATTAAGTCTAGTGGAAGATTTTCAGGTAAGAGAAGTAGCAGACTGTACTGGACATGTTTCACAGATATCAAGTGGTTATAGGCTTTAAGGAGAATGGGTCAGATTGTTGTAAAAATAGGTGGATGGTGCCAGGATGCATAAACCAAGGATCAGAGCATTTGGGGCAGAGGTATAACCTTCTCAATCTCCTTCAGTAATTATGCATTACTTTACTAAGGACACTCTTGTGCTCAAAGTGGATATGACTAAGTTCAAAGCCACCCTATGTTTCTTTTGATTCCCAGTCTGAGCTCTTATTTCCCTATACTTTACCCACTTGCTTCTCTTGATTGCAAACTTATTTGGTTTGTTTGAATCTTTATGTGTTTACTTGCCCTTCTTTTTTCCATAACCTAATTAAATATATTTATAAATCAAGTTCATTTATTCACCCTATTCTTCCACAATTACAATTATAAAATCTTTTTCATATACATTCAATTTATATTTTTTAACAGCTTAATATTTCACGAGTATTAACTTCAGAAATTTGTCAGAAATTGTGTCTCAGGATTTGCAAAAACTTGTTAATAGGTAATTTTTCTTCTAGGCCATTGTGGTGACCGATGGAGAGCGTATTCTTGGCTTGGGAGATCTTGGCTGTAATGGAATGGGCATCCCTGTGGGTAAATTGGCTCTATATACAGCTTGTGGAGGGATGAATCCTCAAGAATGTCTGCCTGTCATTCTGGATGTGGGAACCGAAAACGAGGTAAATAATTTAAGTCTGTAAGGAAGCTGTGTACCTTTAAAAATGGCACCAATTCTTGCATTTTGAACTTATTCTGGGAACTTCATAAAATTCATTCTTTTTTGTCTGGCTCTCTCTCTCTCCAAACCTATCCTTTGCTATTATAAAAAAATTACCTCTTCTGTTCTCCTTTTCCCATCTTTATAGCATGATTAATCTTTTATCTGCTTCCCTAGTGCCTTGTGATACTTTGGTATGCATTTACACCATTATTCCATAGAGTGTATGTTTTACTTTAAGACTTAATAGTTTTAAAAATTATTATTTTTGTATTATATAGGAATTAATCGTATGGGATTTACTAAGTTTAGTCAATCTGAAATATTCTTGTTTTAAAACTGTATTGAACTTGAGGTAGATCATTTGGAGTTTAACTTTTCTCGTTCCTGACTCAATATTTAGAATCTTAAAGTTAGATGTTAACTACTACTTACTTTTGCTCATCCTTTACTGCTAATATTTAGGATTAGTTAGATGGATACTAGAAGCTAAAGGTAGAATTTTCTGAAACAGAAATAGTCAGTTAAGGATAAACTTTTAAAAAATTATTTACAAATTTCAAACCTAGGTCCCAAACAGATAGATCACCAAATAAGACCTTGATATAAATATGTACATGCATTATGTTTATTTTCTTTGTCTCCTTCTAAAACAATTGAAAATATAACTTTTGATCTGTCAGTAATGTGAAATGTATTTTTTGAATGAGCAAAAATATATTTACAATAGTAACTTAACCAGTTATGTTTTTTAATCTACACATACAAAGTTATATTTAACTTGATCTGTGTATGAATGCTCACTTAACCTTTATCAAAGGGTATATTTTGATAAAAATACATGGCTTATTTGGCATTTTCTTTTTCAATACCAATAGAAATGGCTTAGAAATGATCGAAGCTGGCCTCTTTAAATAATTATTCTGATATTTTCCTCAAGCCAGAAGAGGTGGTGCATACCTATAGTCCTACCTTCTCAGGAGGAGGCTAGAAGGTAGGAGGATTGAACCCAGGAGAATCAGGCTGCAGTGAGCTATGATTGTGCCACTGAACTCCAGCCTGGGCTACAGAGTGAGACCCTGCTCTAAAAGTTTTAAATAAAATAAAATAAATATATTTCTACTTTATTTTAAAAGATATTCTAAAAATTAGTATGTGATAAGTTACATTGAAATAAAAGAGTTTTTTCCTTATTTTTAAAAAAATTTTTAAGACAGGGTCTCACTGCCATTGCCCAGGCTAGAGTGCACTACCATGATCATGGCTCACTGCAGCCTTAGTCTCCCACACTCAGGTGATTCTCCCACCTCAGCCTCCCAAGTAGCTGGAACTACAGGCACTTTCCACCATGCCTGGCTAATTTTTTGTTTACATTGAAATCAAATTTTAAAAATTACAAAAATATATAGTATATCTTAAAATTCTATGAAGAAGTGAATATATAATGACAAAACTGGCATGCAAAAATGTAGGAATTTGGCTTTTTTGTTTTTTTGTAAGACATAGGATCTTGCACTGCCACCCAGGCTTTAGTGTAGTGGCACTGTCATAGCTCACTGCAGCCTTAAACTCCTGAGCCCAAATGATCCTCCTACCTCAGCCTTTCGAGTAGCTGGGATTCCAAGTGTGCACCATCACACCCAGCTAATTTTTTTTAACCTTTTTTTTTTTGAGACAGGGTCTTGCTATGTTGCCCAGGCTGGTTTTGAACTCCTGGTCTCAAAAAATCCTCCTGCTTCACTGCGATAACAGGTGCAAGCCACCATGTCCAGCAAGAATTCAAGTTTAAACCTGGGCCATTTATTGAGATTGTTTGTATAAGATGGACATTAAAAAAAAGCTGTGCACTAGTAAAACTATAACACTAAGACTCATGTATTAATAGACTGTTTTATATGAAAGAATTGATTTCATAAAAGAGATTGTATTATATGAAAGAGTTGACTTCATGAAAGTAGGTCTTAAAATTGCCAAGTTGATGGTTATCATGAATTTTCCACATTATCTCTGTTTAGTGTGCATTTGTTTCCTCTTGTGGTGTTCAGTGTTTCTATATTATTACATTTCTATCCAGTATCTTACTTCCTTAGCCTGCAGAACCCATCCACTTACCCTTCATGAAATTTCTTACTTTACCCAGCTGTAGATCTGCTTTTTTGCTCTTGTTTTATTAAGATATGTCTGGCGTATACTACATTTCAAAATTTTTAAGCTGTTAAATTAGAAAATAATCTGATTATCTAATCTATTGTTAAAATGCTATGTATTATTTCTAGAGATTTTGCTTACTGCCACTGGACTTTCAGGAATATTAAGGGAAGAAAATTAAGTGAATGGTGGATCTTTAACTCTTTGACAGGTCACTGGAGCATACTTTTGTCACTTAGAGACCTGTCTGAAACTCCTCGAATTCCATTTGGTAGATTTAATTGAATTAGACTAATATTGAGTACCTACTCATTATAAACCAGGCACAGAAAGACAAATATCCCATGTTTTCACACTCAAGCTAAAAAACGTTGATCTCATGGAGGTAGTTGCCAAAGTCTGGGAAGGGTGTGTGTATGTCAGAGTAGCGGGTGTGAGGATGAAGACAGGTTGGTTAAGGGGTGCAAATATGTAGATTGAAGGAGTAAGTTCTAATGATTAAAAGCAGAGTAGGGTGACTACAGTTACCAACAATGCATTGTATATTTCAAAATAGCTAGAAGAGAGGACTTTAAATGCTACCACCACGTGGAAATGATACTCAAGTGATGGACTCCCTAAATGCCCTGACTTGATCATTACATATTGCATGCATGTAACAAAGTATCACATGTACCCCATAAAAATGAACAAATTTATGTATCAATAAATCAAAATTTAAAAAATATTGAATATCTGCTATCCATCAAAGCCTAAAAAAAGCCTAGATGTTATTGGAGTAAGAAACTTAGGATTTTGCCAGCAAGATGCTCTGAATCTAGAAGAGGAGATACACATGTAACTAGTTTCAGCATGTATTAGTTGCTTTGGTAAAGGCTTTTGAAAGTGTTTAGCAAACCAATTCTCTGAGAATTATCATATGGTTTTGTTAGCGGTGAACAAAGAATTGGACAAATCACACAAAGCAAGGAAAGAATGAAGCAACAAAAGCAGAGATTTATTGAAAATGAAAGCATAATATCCCAAGTTCTCACAACCAAGCTAAAAAAGTTGCCCTCATGGAGATAGAGAGTAGAATGGTAGTTGCCAAAGGCTAGGAAGGGTGTGTGTATGTCAGGGTGGTGGGTGGGAGCCCACAGCCCAGGAGGAGGCCTGAGCAGCCACTCAGGGACCTGAATACAGAATTTCTCAGGTCCAAATACCGCCTAGAGGTTTCCCATTGGCCACTTGGTGATCACCCCATGTAAATGAGGTGGTGGCCTGCAATCAATGAAGTTACAAAGGTCACACTCCTAGCAAACATCCGATTGGTTGTGGAAAGCAACCAATTGGAGGCTAAAGTGAAGTTACAAAGCTGCACTTCTATGCATATGAAGACTTGGCCCACAGTCGGTCTGACTGGTTGTGGACAGCAACTCATCAGAGGCTGAAGTGAAGTTACAAAGTTACACTCCTGTGCAAACGTCTGATTGGTTGCAAAAACCAACCAGTCAGAGGTACTTTCAATTTCTCATCTGCTAGCAGAAAAGGTAGAGGTTTGCAAAGGGAGTAGCCTCTGGTCTTTTTGTTACTTAAGCGTGGAAATTTAGGGTTTTCCTTTCAGTTTGGTTCTAGGAAGTCAGTGCAAAATGGCCTTAGGTTTCCAGCTTCCAGACCCTATTCTCCTGCCTCACTCTTAGTTTTAAACTCAGCATTACTGTTATCTTCTTATAACTTATCTTTTTAAATAAATCATATTTGGGGAATTTAATTGTAAAAATGTATACTATTAAATGATCAACTAGAGTTCTTGTTGTAAAAGGAGAGTAAATTATTTGTTCCCTTTATAAAAGACAGTTTAGCTGTACACAGAGTTAGTTACACTACAAAGTTTACGGGTATACTCCCCAAGACTGCCCTCATTTCTGACATCAATTGCAAGTTCACGAGCTTCCCAAAACCAACTTCAGGCTTGTTAATTTGCTAGAACTCACAAAACTCACTGAAAGCTATTGTACTCACAGTTACAGTATATTATGGGTGAAAGATACACATTAAAATCACACAAAAGAGGAGATGCATAGAGAGGTGTCTAAAAGAGTCCCAATTGTGAAGTGTCCATTTTCTTGTAGAATCAGAAGATGTCACCCTCCCAATGTGGATATTCAATATCAACATGTGTCCCACTGTTCAGAGTTTTATTCAGGATCCATTACCTAGTCATGATTGATTGACTGATTGCCTATGTAGTTGAACTCAGTCTCCAGGTTGACTGGTACTATGTAATGAAAAGGCCCTATCCAGATCATATGGTTAGTCTTTCTGGCATCACCAGCCTTCACCTGGTGACTATCAGTTATGACCACTAAGCTACTAGATAAAAGGATTAGGCCCTATTCAAACTGGTGGAATGCTTATCAATTGTCACCAGAGCCCATGCACAGAATAAATAAAAATATAAGAGGCAAACAGACAAAAAGGAAAATAGATGGCCGGGCACAGTGGCTCATGCCTGTAATCCCAGCACTTTGGGAGGCTGAGGTGGGAGGATCACAAGGTCAGGAGTTAGAGACCAACCTGGCCAATATGGTAAAACCCATCTCTACTAAAAATGCCAAAAAAATTAACCGAGCATGGTGGCGTATGCCTGTAATCCCAGCTTCTCAGGAGGCTGAGGCAGGAGACTTGCTTAAACCCCAAAGGCAGAGGTTGCAGTGAGCCTAGATCGCACCACCATACCCCAGTCCAGCCTGGGTGACAGAGTGAGACTCCGTCTAAAAAAAAAAAAAAAAAAAAGAAAAGAAAATAGATGTAAATTTCATTGTTAAATAAGCA